TTATCTGGAAATCTCCTAATTTCAGCATCATATTTGCGGGACAATTTTTCCAGGTATATAATTCTTGGGAGCTCTGGTGGCATACTGCCTAAGGCATCTGACTACTAACAAGAAGGCTAGTGGTTCAAACCCACCAGCCACTCCTCAATAGGAAGCCTGGGCAACCTACTTCCATAATGATACTGCTTTAGAAACCCAAGGAAGGGTCACTAATTTTTCTCTTTTAGATTTTTATATATACCATCCCATTTCCTTCTTGCTTGCATAGTTTCTGCTGAGGAATCAGAGCTTCTTCTTATTGGTTGTCCTTTATAAGGAACTTTTCATTTTTCCTATGCTGCTTTCAGGATTTTTTGTCTTTGGTTTTGATGAGTTTGATGACGATATGTCTTGGTGATTTTCTTTTGGGATCTATCCTATTTGGGGTTCACTGGATTTCCTGAATGGACATATTCTCATCTTTCATCATATCAGGGAAGTTTTCTTCCAACAAATCTTGAACAATTTTCTCAGTGGTTTTATTTTTCTCTTCCTGTTCTGGAATTCTGATAACACATAGGTTATTCCTTTTGATGGTATCCCACATGAACCTCAGGCTTTCTTCATTGTGTTTTGTTCTTTTTTCTGATTGATCCCTTTCCAAAAAGTATTCAGGTATTTGTCTTCAATCTCATTAATTCTGTTTTCCATTGCATCAATTCTACTCCTTTGCCCTTTCAATGTGTTATCTATTTCTGGCAAGTTAGTATTAATATTCTGGATTTCTACCCATAGATTTTGTATCATTTCTAATTTTTCATTTATTCTGTCATTTTGTTCTTGTATTTTCTTCCAAAATTGTTCTAGGGTTTTGTCTGTGTTTTCCTTAATTGTGTCAGTATTTTCCTTGATCTGTCTCTTAATTGTATCTTCATACAATTCCTAAATATAATTCTTTTGAATTCCTTATCAGGGAGTTCCAGTGCTACTGCTTCCTCAGGGATGTGTTCTGGGTCTGTTTCCTGCTCCCTTGTTTCTATCACTTTATCTTGCTTTTTTGGGTGGACTGTGATGGTCTGCCATCTCAGAGACATTGTGACATTATCGTATTTAGATCTCTGTTAACTGTTTGTGAAGAGCAGTTATGGATGAATCAAGCTCTTCTTGGTGGTCACTTATTGCTGGCCAGTTGGTGGAGAAGGAAGTAGTGGCTCTCACTTAATAGGTGAAGCTGCACGAGATGCGGGCGTAGTTGTGTCACATGGACACTGTTGCTGTCTCCCACTCAGTTAGACAAAAATAAACAACTGAGTCACCACCAAAAAAGTAAAAGCAAGTGGACAAAAAGCACACCATGTAAACACACAGGAACAATAACCAAGAAAATTAAAAAGAGAAAAACAATTCACAATAACCAGTGGAGAGGGCAACAAGAGAAAAAAGGAGATTAGGAGAATAATGAAGAAAAAAATGTGAAAAATGCAAAAAGAAGAACAAAGAATGGGGTTAACCACAAGAAAGAAAAAAATGGTAACCAGGAACAGGGACCAGAGAAAAAGCTGAAAACTAGAACCTGTGAAAGGAAGAATAAAGAATAATAATAATAATGTTAATAATAATTTTAAAACAGACAAAAACAAGCAAAGTAAAAAAAAAAAAAAAAGTCTAGGCAGGGCGGGACAGGGCACCCAGGCTCCATCTGAGCACACAGACTGGGATGGAATTCCTGCCAGCCTAGAAGGTGGGTGGGAGTGAGGGACAGCTGCACCTCCATTCACCAAGAGCATGTGGGGTATAAGAGCAACAAGGGGAATATCGCACCTTTACAGTAGTTGGTGTCTGGAATGTCCTTGTGGTTCCCAGCAAGCAGAGCCTATTCTTAAGTCCCTGGAATCTGGGAGAACGCTGTTGCTTTAAATATCCAAAATGGTCGAGTCACTTGTAAACATACAAAATAGCTGCACCCTCCAGACAGGCACAAGTCCACAGCACAGCCCACCTTTCTCTTTCCTGCTTTCCTTTTTATTCACCAGCCACCAGTGCAGTCCTCCATGCAGCTCCTGGCTAGCAGGGATGATTTTTAGGTTAATTCTTAGGTCCTAACACCATTCAGGAGCTCTGGCAGCATAGTGCCTAAGGCACTTGATTGCTAACCATAAGGTTGGTGGTTCAAACCCACCAGGCACTCCTTGGAAGGAAGATGGGGCAATCTACTTCTGTAGTGATACTGCCTCAGAAACCCAAGAAGGGGTCGTTATGAGTTGGGTCTGACTCAACAGCACATAACAACAACAAGAATAACAACACCACTCAGCAATATCCAAGCTGTCTGTGCTGTCAGGATCACCTACAGACCATTGCTCTGTATGTCTCCTTTTTTGGTGTTTTCAGGCAAGTTCTTCTATTAGTTGGAGTTTAGTCCACTTCCATATCCTTCCCTTCAAAGCTCAGGGCTCCAGGATTATCTTCTGTATCTGTGTTAACTGGTTCCCCTTTTCTTTGTTGAAGAGGGTCTGTGCAGCACCATCTTACCAGAATCCTCAACCATGATTTCTTAAATATAATATCAAAAACATGAGCAACAAAAGACAGCATAGGTAAGCTTGACTTTATCAAAATAATAAAATTTCATTTATCAAAGAACTTTATCAAGAAAGTGAACAGAATATCTACTGAATGGGAGAAAATATTTGGAAACCACGTATCTGACAAGGGTTTGACATTCAGAATATATTAAGAACTCTACATATCAACAAGAAAAAGACAGACAACCTCAAAAAAAATTAAAATGAATGGAGGACTTGAATAGACATTTCATTAAAGACAGACAGACAACTGGCCAACAAGCACATGAAACAATGGTCAGCATCATGATTCTTTAACCAAACCAAAAAACAAACCCATTGCCCTTGAGTCAATTCTGACTCATAGTGAGACCCTAAGTTACTCTGTAGAACTGTACCATACCATTTCCAAGGCTATAATCTTTGTAGAGGCAGACTGTCATATCTTTCTCCCATATAGTGGCTGGTGGGTTTGAACCACCAACCTTTAGGTTAGCAGCCATGTGCTCAACCACTGTGCCATGAAGGTGCCTTCATTAGTCATTAGGGAAATACAAATCTAAACCACAACCCCTTCTACATGAACTGCTGAATGTAAAAGAAATCTGCTTTGTAAAATGTCACTGAAATCACAATAAAAATTTAATGAATAAATAAACCACAACTCCTTCTAGCCCAACAGTATCTATAATCTGAAAACAAGAAATGTTGGTGTGGATATGAAGAAACTAGCCATCATCCACTTCTAGTGAGACTGTAAAATGGTGCAGCCACTGCGGTAAATGGTTTCACAGTTACTCAAAAAGCTAAACCCAGTATTACCATATGACCCATCAATTCTACTCCTAGGTATATAACAAAAGAAACCGAAAACAGATACTCAAACAGCAATGCTCACTGAAGTATATTATTCACAACAGCTAAAAGGTGGAAACAACCAAACTATTATCAGCAAATGGACAAATAAAATGTGATATATACATACAGTAGAATATTACTTAGCCATAAAGAGAAATGAAATTCTCATACATGACATAGATGAACCTTGAAAATATTATGCTGAGTGAAGTCAGTCAGACACAAAAGGACAAATATTGGCTGATTCCACTTAAGTGAAATATCTAGAATATGTAAGTGCATAGAAATCAAAATTTATTAGTGGTTACCAGAGGCAGGTGGGAGGTAGAAATGGGTGGTACTACTAAGTGGACAATGAGTTTCTGTTAAAGGTAATGAAAAAAAGTGTAATAAATATTTGTATAACATAGTGAATACAATTAATGTCACTAAATTTACACATTTAAACAGTTAAAATGGCAAAAGCCTTTGTGTGTGTGAACGTATATATATAACATTTTATTTATATACAAATTTATATATTGTTTGTCTGCCAGTCATGCTTTTAGTATTTATTTGAATGATTTTCTTTTCATTAAAAATTATATTCCATGAGAAAAGCAGCCAGTTTAGCATGAAACTCAATCCCAAAAGTGCTTTCCTTGAGGCAACCACCATACTCTAGTATACAGCTTAAAAGCTTTATAAATACTTCCCATCTCACTATACAGAATATTAAAGAGACACGTACTCAAGGGTCAGGATTTATTACAACTAGTAAGTTTTACTGGTTCATCACAGACATTTTTAAGTAAAATTGTAAATTTTTTAAATTGTTTAGAGATGATTAATACATTGACTACTAGCAGTTCAGGGTTCCATCATGGTGTCAATACTACCAGAAGCTCTTTATAGTTTAAATGCAATCCCTATCAAAATTTCAACAGCTTTCTTTGCAGAAGTGGAAAAGTCAATCCTCAAATTTACACAGAATTGCGAGTAGCCCTAAATGCCAAAGTAATGGTTAAAAAGAACAAAGTAGGAGCATTAAACAGTTTTAACATCATTGTTTGATACTATTCATACAAGGGTGAATAGAGAGAAAATAAGCAAATAACATCTTAATATTTTTAAGAAAACAGTTCTGACCTCAAAGAACCCTCAAAAGGACTGTGCAGCCTTTGAGAACTGCTACATTTGAAATTTCTTGGTAAAGAATTTAAATAATCTTATACTCCCTCATTTTTAGTATTTATCTCATATAATCTTTCTCTCTGAAAAAGTTTTTTAAAAACTTTAGTATTCCAAATCAATTCATTCGACATGATCAACTGAGTTCCATCTAAAAATTTCAACTCACACTCCAAATTGTTTATAATTATCAGTCTACAGTAATTCAAAGTGCTGAATCCCAACTACAAATAGAAACTTTCTTTAATTCTTGGGCAATATATAGAGAACAGTCAATCTGTGACCAAAAAACTTAGCATGCCTTTTACAGGTCAACATAATAATTTAAAACAGCCGATAACAAAAATCTTCTCTAAAACCCAAACTTTGAAGTTCAAAGAAATTGTATGTAAAGATAAGCAAAGAATTCACCACTCCTGATATACTCACTTTCTGTTTATGCTGCTGCAACAGGTTGTCAAGATTGTGTCGCCTTTTATAGTTAAAATAGAAGTTTTTACACTGAGCTTCACTTTTGGTTCCTACCATTTTGGCAATTGCTGCCCAGTTACGACCATGTTCGACTAGACCTATATTTTAAAAACAGACCAAACATTAATTGAACAGTCACCTGATAAAATAAAAAAGAGAAATAATAAAATCATTGTATGCACAAACATTAACAATGAAAGTGTGATTTCAATTACTCATTTACATATTTCAATACTTCTTGAAATACTTAGTAATATCGATACTCACTCACAGCTTTATATTATTCCCAAAAATTTAAAACGTGCTCATTAATGCAAAGGCTCAATTCTATCCTTGTTATTATAGAACAATGCTGGATACATAAAAATAGTTCAAACACTGATACACTGAGTGACCAAGTACTTTTATTTCAGATCCTCAGAGACTGTGTATCAATACAAACTTAACAAGGTAATCAAATATAAATGATTAACACAAAATAGAGATGTAAGACTCAGTAATAGAAAATGCTTTATTATTAACACTTATCATCACTCAATATATAAGCAAGAAATGTCCTCAAAAAATTTAACCAGATCTAAAAAAAAAACAAAACCCTGTTGTGCAGACAGGCAAAATGATCAGGAATAGTAAGCAAAAGAGACTATACCCATGACCATATATATAAGTGTGTCAGATGATATTTCTACATATGTATTTGTATGTGCTATAGGAATGTCCATATATATAATAGAGGTGACAGGAGGTGGAAGTTATGGTAACTTCTCAGCTACAGCCAAACACCTTGAGGGAGTGAGTTGCTGGGCCTGTGGGCTCAGGACCATGGTCATGTGGGACATCAAGCTCAACTGGTATACCATACTACACAAGAACGCTGTTCCACACCCTATTTTGGTGAGTACCAACTAGGGTCTTAAAAGCTTGTGAGCAGCCATCTAAGATTAACAATTGATTTCCCCTTGTCCACAGTAAAGAAAAGTGAAGAAAATCAAAGATTCATGGAAACAATCAGTCAAAGGAACAAGTGGACCATGGGAATCTCAGCCTACATGACCCTGAGACCAGAAGAACTAGATGGTGCCTGGCCACTGCCAACTACTCAGAAAGGAATCAAAATGGGTGATCTTGGATACAGTGGGAGAAAAATGTAGAACAAAACTCAAAATCATAAAAAGATCAGGCTGACTGATCTGATAGAGACTGGTAAACTCCTCCAAGACTATAGCCCCTGGTGACTCTTCAGGCCTGAAACTAAACTCACCCCTATGGTTTAACTTTCAGCCAAACAATAGACAGACCTATGAGGTGAACAACTCCTTAAAACAATCAACAATGGGAGATCAGGAAGGCAACATTTACGCAGGTAGGTAGCTCAGAGGACAGGAATGCATAGAAAAGAAGGGCACAGGAAAAAGTAACCACAGGGAAGAAGTGGGAAGAGAGCTGTTACACTGTGGGGATTGTAATGAATGTCACAAAACAAAATGTGTATGTACTGTTGAATGGAAAACGAATTTGCTCTGTAAACTTTCATATAAATCACAAATAAATAACCCTATTGTAACACAATGCCTCACAAGAACTTAGGCAATCTGACAGTTTTCTAACCAAATACCACACATATGCATACACAGACATGTGTTGGTGTGCAAGGAATATTAGTATATAAATGCATAGACACACATTTAGAGAGAGTGATATAAAGACATACATTAAAAAAACAGGTATATCAAAATAGTAATTTCTAGTACAAATTTGATGATTTATAGGGAGACATTTGTTTTTCAAGGTAATATAAATAGGTTCTTTAATAATGAGGGAGCTCTGCTGGTATAGTGACTAAGGCATTTGACTGCTAACCAGAAGGCTAGCGGTTCAAACCCACCAGCCACTCCTCGGAAGGACTAATGATAACTGGAAGATCACAACCACTTCTTGCCTGATAAATGAACAGGATATGAAAAGAGTGATGACAAACAGTCAAATGTAGGTATTATTTACCTTAAAGAGATCACTCTGTAACATAGGTTAATATCTACCTACTTTACCATGACATTTTGATGATCAGATGAGACTATGAATGCCTTAAGAAGTTATATATATTTAACATTTACTAATCTTTGTAAAGGAGGGAGCTCTGGTAGCATAGTGGCTAAGACACTTGCCTGCTAACCAGACGGCTGGCGGTTCAAACCCACCAGCCACTCCTCGGAAGGAAGGTTGGGCAATCCTACTTCCGTAGTGATACTGCCTCGGAAACCCAAGGAGGGGTCCGCTATGAGTCGGGGCCGACTTGACGGCACATAACAACAACAACAACAACAATCTTTGTAAATAAACTTATTTATTTTGAAGACACCACTCTTTTAAAATGCTTTACTTTTGGTTAAAATGTTACATTATCAATGATTTTAAAATGTATCACTGATTATCTGCTAAGGACGTAGAACTCTGAACTGTGTCACTGAAAATTCAAATTATTTATACTAAATAATTTCTCTTTAGAATTATAAATATTAACTGCAAAAAAGTTAGCTATCTCTCTCAAAACTAACTACCAACAATTTATCCAATTAAAAATTACAACTCAATTTCAAATTATACTACATTTATAAGCAACAGCAAAACACTAGGCCAATAAAGTTCCAGAATAAGACCAAGATCACACAGCTGTGAACGTGCAGAAACAGAATCCAAACTTTTGTCTGTCTGTGTATAAAGTTCATGTTCTCTCCTCTGAATCACAGTGCAATTTCTTAGTGGTTTATAATTAGATGTCCTACCAAATGCAAACTGAGAAACTATTCACCATTCTATTAAATACAACTTCTAAATAACAGAAATACGTACTCAAAATCAAAACTCCTTTCAAAACAATTTTAATAGCATATAATCACAACTACTTTGGAAAAGTGAAAATAGCCTACTTGCTCTCTAATAAAATGACATTCAAAACAATACTGTAGGTTGAATCTTAAATCCATTAAACGTGGACCCATCTTAAGGAACACTGATGTACCTCATTAGGTATCACATAATCAAAAATAAATATTTTCCTTGCTGTAAAGAAATGTTGTTAATACACTCACCAATTTAGCACGTGTCACTTGTACAATTTCAAATATAATTTTTAAGCTTACTTCTAAATTCTATTTATCTCTTTGGAAGAGTTTTTAAATTTAAAAATAAAAAAGTTAGCTCCATTTCACATGTTACTAATAACCTTTAAAAAACCTAAAGCATAAACTACTATAATTTACCTTTTTTAGCAACTTCCATTTCTTCCTCTGTCCATCGAGAGGTCTCCACAGGCTCTGCAGAAACTGAAATAAAAAGAGAGAACCCATTAGGCAAGAGAAAAATAAAGTACCAACCATATAATCCATAACTTATTTATCTGACATAAACCCTATTTAAACCATTTGGTAGAAGATGACTTTGGAAATATGACATTATTAAGTCTCTCTCTCACCAAACTAGAGGGGAAAATTAAACACTTTTCAGTTGTCATGATCTTTGTCAATGTTCTTTAATGTTTGATCTGTGTCTATGTGTTTTAAAACTTTTAACTTATTTTCTAGAAAGTATCCCCTCAACTAGTACCTTCCTACTTAGATCTGTAACTGTCCTCTTCTCCTTTTGAGCAATTTCAAAGGAATATGCATAAACAAATTTTCTTTTGTTCTTTGAACCCCTATCTCCTCCTAACTCTTACAAGCCCTTGTGTGCATCCCTCGATACTTGACATCATGGTCTGAACACATTCTCCTTACTTTAGAAAGAAAATTGAGAATATCAGGCCTGAAATGAGTTTCTTCTATCTTCCTCAACTAATAGTAACCATCATTCACCCACCACTCAAATTATTAAGAATCCTCTGCCTAATTTAACATCTCATTTAACATCACCTATCCAATGAAGGTCAATTCTAATCTTCTGAATCCATCCCTTCCTCATTTTGGCCACTACACTCATAATGATGCCCTTCTAGCTGATCCTTGTACCTCCAGACTTACCCACTCTAATCTGACCTCCACAATTGTTGCCAGAATTATTTTTCTAAAATACAAATCTAATCATAGCCCTCCTCTACTTAAAAAAACGTTATAAATATCCCACTTTATAAGCAAAGTAGTTTTAAGTTTAAACAAGACACAATATGATCTTGTCCCAGCCTATCTTTTCATCTCTTATCTAGTTATTTCTCCTCACATCATTCTTGCCATTCTCAGAACTTCCATTTTTTTGCACACTTGACATTATAGTAAAATTGGTACCACCGAGCCACTGATGCTAGTCCTCATCGCTAGTATATTCTTTTTACAAACTAATAAGACAATACTTAGTAAGAGGGGGGAAAAAAGTTTGGACTGGTATTCCCGCACCTAAAAATTTATTCCTATGAAAAAAATTGACCAGAAAGAAAAGTCTATGTGAATAAAGATTATTTTCATTATAGTGCTATCCATTTAGCTTGAGGGAAGCAACTGATTCATTCAAAAATAAATCATGCTTCAGTAACACAATGCATGTTTCAAAGACATTAAAATATAAACCAAAACCAAACTCACTGCCATCACGTCAATTCTGACTCATAGTGACCCTAGGACAGAGCAGAATTGCCCCATAGGATTTCCAACTATAAATCTTTACGGGAGCAGACTGCCACATCTTTCGTTTGTGGAGCAGCTGGTGGGTTCGAACCACCCACCTTTCAGCTAGCAGCCAAGTACTTTAACCACCTCGCAAACAGGGTTTCTATTAAAATACAAAACTGAAGATTATCTAAAAACTAGAAACTATTTGGATACATGGCCAAACTGAAACATCAGAAAAGAAAGTAATATGCACACTAGGATTACAATTACATAAAAAGAAAATTAGCTGTACCAGGATGGCACCAACGTGGATGATATTCTATTCTCAAATACTTTGATAAGAAAATTTAAAAATTTTAAAGACCAGACTTTAGGATTACATATAGGTTATCAATGTTACAAGCTCCTGTGCTACCCCAACACTGAAACAGCATCCCAGCCTGTTCACTAACATCTCCTCCACTTACTGGGTTCTGGTGGTGGTGGCAGAGGAGGCGGAGGCTCTTCAGTGGCAGCTGCAGCTGCAGCACTGGCAGCTGCGGCTTCGTTTGTCATGGACCTGGTGATCCGTCCCTTACGACGGCCCTGACTGTTGGCAGTCTTTCGTCCCCGGGGTGTGGCCTGCTCTCTTTCCTCAGTTTCTTCTGTTGTATTTTCTGTCTTGTCCCTTTCCTTCGTATTTTCTCTGGGAACAAAAGGTAAATGAACACTTTGTGACTAAAAGTATGCATACATTAAAGAAAGTTATTAACTTTGCAAAAATAAAATTCTTTAAATAGAAATCTAATTGCCTGGTCTTTAAGTTACTTCAAAAAAATTTATGTAAAGTGTATTGGACCCCAATTTTGAAAAGCTTTTTGACTGGCTCAAATTAAGGTATTTCACAAAGGCCTGTTTTACACAATAAAGCATTTAAATTTAAACAAATTTCAAATCTACTGACTTAGACACCAAAATATTCTACGTGGAAGTAATAAATATCAACAGAAAGACCCCAAGACCTGAGATCTGGAAACAGTCGGAGTGCACGAAAATGCGAGAGTCTAGGTTTTTTTGCCTATGTTCAGTCACTGTTATCAGCCTGACATAAGTTCTCTCATTTGTGAAATGAAGAGGATGAGACAGACGATCTGCAAGATAGACACCCTTTTGTAGTAATAACTCACAATACTGTTTTTATGAAACCTACCTCAAGATTCTAAACCACCTCTGATACTAATTATGTGCAAACTAGGCTGTATGGTTAGAATAAAGCTCTGGAGCCAGGCTGCAGAGCTCTACGTTTGTCAACCATGTGATGACCCAGGGGAACTTCATCACATTCAAAGGTCTTCATTTCCTAATCTGCAAGATGAGGATAATGATAGAATATTTCACAGGACTGTCACATGGAGTAAATTTGAGCTCTTTACAAAGAAAGCATCATCCACATTTGCTATAGCTAAGACTAATAATCTCTCTCTGTTTTAAGTACACATCATAGTCCCAGCACTTGGGAAAAGCTCAATAAATGGTAGTTACTACTGACAGCAATGGTACTACAAGTGATACTGGAAGATCATTCTCTGTACTGTTTACCTCTAAGGGTTGTCATATATAAAATTAAGGTACTTAATGTACACTTTTAAAATAGAATGGATAGATGGCAATATTCAAAGACTCAACTATCCTTGCTTAATGGAAGATGTTATAATCAAATTTTATCTACTTTAAGTAAACTGTTTGACAGTTTCCAAGTTACAGTTTCCTCCCAAAACAAAAAACACATCAATAGTTCTTTCCTTTTCATTTCGAAATTACCCTTGAAATTACTGTGAAACTTTCTCTTCACTTCTTCATTCCCACACAAAACTATCTTCTACTATCCAGCCTCCTGTTAAAAATGTTTTGTCAAAAATTACCAGTGACTTCCAAACTGCAAAATCAAATGACCTTTTCTCAATCCTCACCCCATCAATCTTTCTGTTGCAATTTACACTGTATATAATTACTTTTACATCTTTCTCAACTTCGCTTTCAGGACTTCATATTTTCCTAATACACCTACTGCTACTCTGGTCTCTCTTGGACATTGCCTTTCTCCTCTCACCTTTTTTTTTTTTTTTTTAAATATAGGGATTTCCCAAGATCCATCATGGCCTTAGAGCTTTGTGAGGTCATCCACTCATGTCAATATCAATTCTACTGCAGTAACCCCCCAATATGTATCTTTAAACCCATCTCATTCCCTAAGATCCAGACTTATCTTCCTTGCTGAAACAGCCACCTGGATTACACATCAGTACAAACTCAACATACCCAAAAAAATACTCATCTCCACCACCCTGCTTCTTGCTTCACCTCTTTCTCTGTCCAATTACTATTAACAGTACCATCATGTTCATAATCACACAAGTTTACATGTTCAGTACCATCTTTAGCTCTCTCCCTTTTCCTTTACTTCCTTCATGTGAATTTTATGCAAAGTTTCGATCACTTCACTCAGTAATATTTCTCCCACTAATACAACCACCTTATTTATACTACAACTATATCTATTCAGTCCCTTAGTACCCTAATACTTGTATTTTACAACATCTATTGGCTGTGTCCCCAAACCCTTTATCTCTAATCTATCCATTACTATACTTAAATGGATCATATTTTTTTGCAGGACAACTTTGGCAATAAACTATTCAATCCATTTTAATCCACACCTATTTCCAAATAGACCAACACAGCCTATAAAATGAAGTCTAACACTTCAGTTTTTCATTAAGGCCCTATAAAATCTAACCCCTAATCTAGCTTTCACTTCTATTCTTCAGGCATCCTATGTTCCAATCTAATGGAATCATTTGCCATTTCTCAAAGTAGCACATCTATTCATGTTGTTCCCGCCTACCCTATCCAAATTAAAAATTAACTGCTGCATCAAGTATTCTAGACAGATGTAACCTCAAACTTTTCTCAATCTGCCAACTTCATTGGTTCTGCTCATTTCTTACTCCCAGGCTTTTTAAAATAGTACTTGAACCTTGCCTGTTCTCCCTATTACTGATGCTAGTACATATCTTATGCTCTTTTGCAACGTCAGTTAGATCTGCCTCACATAGGTAATAAATAAATGTCCGTACGTTAAATTGGAAATTTTCAGAAAAAAGTTAAACCAAGGTATGGTTATATCCATACAAGGAGAACCACTGACTACATGGAAGTATAAATACCTAACTTGAGCAAGTGAAAAACATTTTTTAACTATTATTACTTTATAAATAGCATCCAAAAGTATACAATTAGAAAGGCATGAGTATTCAACTCTTTTACAAATACTGGTTAGTGTCTTAGGCTGCTTTAGTTGTCACAAATTAGGTAAAAAGTAAGTATTTCCAAGAATATCACAGAAATAACACAATAAATATTAAGAACAAACTATTGATACATTCAACAATCTGGATACATTTCAAAAGTATATAAAAGAAGCCAGACATAAAAGACTACATTCTGCATGATTCCATTGACATGAAACTCTAGAAAAGAAAAAACAGATTAATGGTTGCCAGAGGGTAGAAATGGGGAAAGGGGAGACTGATAACAAAAGAGCATAAGAGAACTTTTTGGGGTGACGGAAATGTTCTATATAATGATTGTGGTAATGGTTGCACATGTATATACACTTGTCAAAATGCATTAACATGTATAGTTAAAATTGGTGAAATTTATTATCTGTAAATTATACCTCCATGAAGCTGATCTTTGAAGAAAAATAATCAGCTCAGCTGAGCACCTCCCCACCTGCCCTAATATATATACAAAAACATTAACAGTAGCTATCTCTGAGCAGTAGAATCATGAGTTAATTTTCTTTATATGTTGCTTTATTTTCCTAATTTTCTATAATGGACAAAAATTATTTTTATAACCAGGAAAACAACAATAAACAAAACAGAAACTCTATTTTCTATGAAAAAACTCAACTAATAAAGCTAGAATATAAGTATTATACAAATCAAACTCTTTTACTTATCAGCATTAAAACACTACCTAAAGTATACTTCTTCAAGTTCAAAATAAGATCATGAAGAACCTTCCAAATCAAAGATTAAATTATGTGCAATATATGGTAGCAATAAAAATAAAACCTCACTGCTGTCGGATCCAACTCACAGCAACCCCTCCTTGAGTTTCCGAGGCGGTATCACTATGGAAGTAGAGGGCCCAATCTTCTTTCCGAGGACTGGTTAGTGGGTTTGAACCGCTAGTCTTCTGGTTAGCAGTCAAATGCCTTAGGCACTATGCCACCAGAGCTCCTATCCTAGCAGTAAGTGTATATTATTATACATTTATAGCCTTTCCCTTCTGAAAATTAATATCTTATGTCTGACAAGTAAGTCCATTAAACCAAAATTTTGTTTTTTGGAATATTCCACCCCTTAATAATGGCAAATACCTATTAGATGGTCAACGGACATATTCCATTTATTGTCTTATCTAAAATGTTATACTGCCAATAGATTCAATTTCATTATTTAAAAATAATTAGAATATTTGATGTTGTCTGTATTTAACTCACTTAGAGTCTTCCTTGTCATCTTTTTCTTCTTCATCTTTCTTTTCCTCTTCCTTTTTTTCTGTTTTTTCTGCTTTATCCTCTTCTTTCTCTTCTACTTTCTCTTCTTGTGAGGGTCGGGCAATTTGCTGCTAGAAAGAGCCATCATTTGAAAAATTCAAAGGTAAAAAGAAACAGTTCCTCAAATTTTCAAATATGACAAAAACCTGTCAGAACTTTCAAAAATGATTAATTCAATAATCATCTGTAGTGTAATTTATGGTCATATATTATAAATAAATCTAATACTTTTTAAAATACTCTGTATTTATTACTTAAAAGTACACTAAAGAGGAAAAAAAAAACCCTCATGGTAATAAACATACCAGAAAGGTAAAAATGTTAAGATTTCCCTTAGAAATCTTAGGTTAGTGCTCTCTTTTTGCAATCTCCACACCCAATACGTCACTAAAGCATGTCAATTCAACCTTAAACTTTGATTATACATTTAGATTATACATAACCTATCAAACCATCCTCGAGTACTGGATACTTACCATGCTCCCAATTTTTTCACAGTGCTAAAAGAAACATCTTAATGCTTTTTACTCCTTAGCGAGAAGCATTCATTTATCATTACCGAGACTGAAGCAATTTGGAAAAATAGAACAGTAAAAAGACATAAAACACTCAAATATTTCCAAGCTTTAATTATAACTGCATAAATATGCACATGAACAAACACTGGTAAGGAAGTGATTGCTTAGGCAGTCAGATTATGGTCTCTTTCATCTCTGATGTTTCATTTGCTAACAATTTTTAGGAGAAAAAAATGAAACAAAACTTATAAATTTGTATTATCACATTTCATTCAGAAGCTAAGATTTTACAACCTAATTAGGATTAAACACCAATCATCATCATAGCACACTGCCCATGCTTACCTCCTTCCAAACCGTGAGCTTTCTCACTTTCTTGTTCACCATTCTAGACTCACTTAAACATGCCTACCACTTCAAGCCTTTGCCCAAATACCCTTTCTAACCACCATTGCCTGATAAATGCCTACATCATCTGAGATTGAGTTCACAAAATTACATCTCCTACAAGGCTTTTCTTAACTTCTACCAAGTAACTTCAGGTCCTGTGTTCCTATGTGCTCCAACATGCACTTCTACATCTGCGTGCAACATTGATCAGTGTTGCAGTGGCTCATTATCAGGGTCTGTCTGACTCACCGTGTCATAAAACCATCAAAGACAAGGACTAGATCTTAATCATCTAAGTACACACAGGTCCTAGTAGTGTTTGATAAGAATAAAAATTAAATTCCTTTATATTGGCTATCTGAAAGCTTTTTGCCCTCCCATCCAATCTTTCAAAGTGCTATGATGATATAGTGGTTAAGGAATGTGGCTGCTAACAAGAGGTCTCTGGTTCAAACCTACCAGATTTATAGCCTTGGAAACCCAATGGGGGTTGATATGAGTAAGAATCAACTCAATGGCAGTGAGTTTGGTTTGGTTTTATCTTTCATTTTCCTTGAGCCTAATGTCAATACTACCTTTTAATAACTCTCCCTGCCCTCTCAACTCTTCCTTTTACCCGACAACAGGGAGCACTCATTTGTTTTAAGTGAAATTTCCATTAATTCTTAATATATCCCAAACTTTTACCTACTGACCAAAACTAAATCTGCCTTTTTCTTTAAGATAACAAAAGCCTTATTGCTCTTTCTAAAAGACACAAATATGCTTAGCCTTCTAGACTTAGAATCCATGAAGGAAGAAAGAAGAATTTGTATCCTTTTTCTTTACTGCTACTTCCAGAGCTGAATTGTAGTATTTTAAAAATATTTCCTTTTCAAATTTCACAAAATCTACCCATGATCTCCCTTTGGAGTTACAGATTGAGCTCTTGAATATTCCCTAGCACATAGAGATGATTTTATTACACAGCTCATTATGACCTGACATTATTTTTCAGATATCAAAATGCATGCCAATGACTTTTCTAACAACCTCCTTCAATCAGTAACATCCCACACTTAAATACTTTCAAGTCATGCCAACTAAACTACACTACAGGTGAAGGCACAATCTAGACGTCATCATTATTTGGTATTGCTTCACCTCCAAGATCCTAAAATTAGAAAGTCTTCTAACTACAACCACCCATGCCTTGATCACCCACAGTTTCAACTGTTGCTGATCCTGCTCTTTGGCCTCATCATATACTACAATCCTTTACTGCATCAAATTCTCACCATCTATCAGGAAGAACTGTATCTACTATTCCACTATGACCCTTATTAAATCATTTCAATACCCTGATTTACTCATTCTATTTATCTGACTTTGCCAATTTTTAACCCTAACTGCCAGTTTCTCTTTCTTCTAAGTATTCATTACTAGAGTAAATGTAGAAATCAGGAAGACTTCCAAATGTGTATTTTCAACCATGACTCTCAAAATAAATCAAACTCACTGTCCTTGAGTCTACTCTGATTCATAGCGAACCTTACCTGGGTTTCCAAAGCTATAAAGCTTTACGGAAGCAGATTGCCTCATCTTTCTTCCATGGAGCAGCTAGTGGGCTTGAAACAGCAACCTTCTGGTTAGCAGCCAAATGCCTTATCCACTACACCACGAGAGCTCCTTATTCAACCATGACTAGGCCTGCTCTATAAGCTGGCAATGTTCTACTCAGCTCTAACTGATTCTCTGGAGCTCTGGTGTAGTGCCTAAGGCATCTGACTGCTAACCAGAAGGCTGGTGGTTAAAACCCACCAGCTACTCCTCAGAAGGAAGACTGGGCAATCTCCTTCCATAGAGATACCACCTCGGAAACCCAAGGAGAGGTCGTTATGAGTTGAATCAACTTGATGGCAGTGGATCTGGTTTGTTTTTTTTAACTGATTCCCTAGCACACTATAAAGATCTTAAGACTTCTTTCAAATGTTATTAACCCCACCTCACCACAAAGATAGCATCCATCCAACAGGGCTCTTTCATCCATCGGTAAGGATCTTTTAACACAGCGTATTAAGGACAAACCCTAACCTTTTCCTAGTAAGTGAGCTGGGTAACCCAGAAAATTATTTATAGCCCTAAGATAAGATGGACAGATATCAAACTCAGCAGAGGTAATGAAAGGTTCTCTATGTCCCCAGACTTGGATGACACATGTATTCTTATTTCTCTGATAATTTGCTGCTTCTGATGCCAATCAGAATTTCAAAAAAAGTAACTAATTCCACACATACTCTGCTGTCTGGATTCTGGCCAATAGCTGACTTCTCTCCTCTTTCCTATTGCTAAGAAGTAAAAAAGCAACTGTACCACCTGTTTAGACCAGTCAATGAGAAGAAAAGAGTCCCTTTTGAAAAACATCACTCAGTTCTGCAGAAAAGAACAGAAATCATCCAGAGAACTTGATGGGTCGCTATGGTTAGCGTCTGTAGAAGTGTGCTCTACCTCCACAGCCTCTCACAGCTCCATCTGGGCTGCATTTCGGAAACTCACATTGACTGGGCAACAGTAAGTAAAGCAAAAACCAAACCCAAACTCACTGCCATAGAGTTGATTCCGACTCATTTGCGACCCCCTTCGGATTTCTGAGGTGATAAATCTTTATGGAAGTAGACTGCCTAGTCTTCCTTTCACAGAGTGGCTGGTGGGTTTGAACTGGCAACCTTCTGATAAGCAGTCAAATGCCTTAGGTACTATGCCACCAGAGCTCCTTTGACAACAGTAAGTAGGGAGAGAATATGTGCTAGGGATGCCCAGAAGGTGTAGCCAGCAGCAACCCAGGGCCTTACTTTTGAGTGATACATATAAAGGCATACTGCAAAAGAGTACCACTGCTATTAAAGGGAGTAAGGAACCACCTCTGGTTTAAATAAGAAGCAGAAAGAATTACTTTTATTTCAGACAAATCTGTAAAGTCAAGTCAATCCACATGGTCTAGGATGGTCATTATGGGTCACATACCTTAAACCCTTTTAGCAGGCTGGCAAAGGTAGGGCAAACATACTTTTCAGTAAGAAATCTTTCTTAAGGATCCCTGATAGAGGCATTCTCTGATAGTTCCACACCAGTTCTCCCCTCTCTCTAATCCTAACACTTGACAGTCAATAAACAAACATTTCACTCTGTTAGAGAAGTTCTCATAGCATGAAGTATTTCTGTAAAACAAGCTATGGAAAATAAACGCAAGAGTGTATTATAAAACCAAATGAAAATTCAAAGGAAAACATGAAAGGTATGTATATTTCATCATGATAAATGAGAGAAAGGACTCAACTTCAGCAGGGGCTTTGAATAACGAGATCAAAGAACAGTTTATGCTGAGATTTATTACTACTATATCTAACTGAATATCATATACATTTACACTTGTTAACATGTTAAAACCTTTAGGGAAAAGATAATAGACAAACTTCTACTAAGCATACAAAGACCAAACAAAAAAAAACTCACTGAAACTGAATCAATTCTGACTCATGGTGACCCTTTAAGACAGAGAAAAACTGCCCCATAGGGTTTCCAAGGATATAAATCTTTACAGAAGCAAACTGCCTCATCTTTCTCCTGCAGAAGGGCTGGTGGGTTCGAAATGCTCATCTTTTGGTTAGCAACCAAATGCTTTAACCACTATGCCACTAAAGCTCTTTAGCAGACAAATAAATTGCAAAAAAATGAAATGAATGAATTTTAACAAGTAGTTATAAAACTCAATAACGTATTTAAGAGGAAAATGTTGTCAGTGTAAAGGAAGAGCAAGGAGAGCATGAATTCCTGTGAAAAGTAATCAAGTTTGAAATGAAAATTGGAGTTTCTAAACAATACCTGCTTCACTGTAGGTCACTACCAGGTACCACAGTAATACTATGCCCGTAGTGACAGACTTACTAGATGGGAGTTTGTTCTTACTAGTAAGTGTAGCATTTCCTAAGGGAAAGAATTCTTATTTCTAATAAAAACAGTATATATAGAAATTACTACTTGGCATATTGTTTGTAATTCTAGATCCCAAATACTAACAATGCAGAGTGGCTTTTTTGGTTTCCAGTATTTCTTTACTGTATCAGTAAACATCATAGAGAATCGCAGTCTCTTCATAGGATGAACTATAGAAATGGTTTGGGCAGTATTAAAGAGAATTTTCAGAAAAGAGTTAAAATGTTTGCCAACAATAATATCTGAACACAATTTTAACAGAAATATGAGCATCTGTCTTATCTCCCTATGACTCAAAGATTAAATCTCATTGTCAGAGTATATAACATGCAAAGTTCTTTATGGCAACAGCAGGTTATAAATCAAATCTCACAAATTTGAAATCTCTCAATTAAAAGCATATTATTCATTCATCTGCTGGTATGATGCTGGGAACTGGAGATGGGGAGAGCAATCAAACAAAAATGGAGAGGATCAACTATAAAGTTTAGTGGACCTCTATGAGTTAAGAAATAAATCAGACCTCGCAATGTGCTTATTCCAAGAAATTGTATTTATCCTGTCTGGAGAATCAATCACCATTTATTGATTACACAAACTTCTCATCACTCTGGGATTACCTAAAGTAAACCCTACTGATTCAAAATTGATTGGATGTCTCTATTCACCAGGTTAAAATCAAGACGTTCAATACACAGATTTTAAAATTCTTAATCTTACTCTGTATTTAAAAAAAAAAAAAAAAAAATTCTATACAGTGAATTTTATATCTCCAACCCAGGTCTTTTTCCTAAACTCTACTTATACATCTAACTGTCAAATTTACATCTCCAATTGGATGTCTAGTAGTTATCTGAAATGTATATATCTTGACTTTCCACCAAAACCTGTTCTTCCTTCAGTGGAACTTATCACAGTAAATGGTTAACTCCACAAAGCAAAACTTGGCATTTACCTTTGATTGCTGTCCTTCTCTCATAACCCACAACCAATATTCATCAGCAAATCCTGTTGGTCTTACCTTCAAAAATATATCCAGAAACTGACCAGTTCTCACCTCTCCCCTCTATACCCTAGTCTAAACCTCTGAGATTATTAAAACAACCTCCTAATTGGTCTCCCTGGTTCTTCTCTTGCCCCCTTGTTAATTTATTCTCAATAGAGGAGCCACAGTGACTGTTACAACCGAAATCTGATATTATTATTCTACTCAACGGCATCCCCTCTCACCGGTTATCAGCTCTAATGACATTTAGTTTTATGTAAATAGGAAGCCCCAAACTAACTAACACCAGTTAGTTTCTGAAAAACTGTCCAACTATCTGACATAAGGTAGTGAAATAAACAATTAAGAAATGGGGATAAGATTTTTTATCTTATTTTAGTCTAAGTCCATGATTTAAATCCTTCCTCTCTCAAATCCCCAATGAAATAACCAGAGAATTAGAAAACTCAGGGAAAATCTTCAAAATGATTCCTCAAAAGTTAATGTGGAAAGGATTACATTGTTGGACTACTGACCAAACTAAAAGTGAGCCCACATTGGGGCAAATACACTAAGGCTCAGGTCAGGGTGCGAGATCATATGAAAAATCTCCATTCTGCAAATGCATCCTGGGTAAGTGAGAAGGACACTATCTGTAAGGGCACGAAACCCTGATTATGTCCCACACTTAACAAGCACAAGTGTGCCATGGAGAAGAGTGAAACCATGTCCCAAATACCTTTAGGACAAAAAACAATTTATCAAAAAAGAAGACAATGACAAATGCTTCAACATAACAGAGACACACAGCTTCCTGACAGAGCTTTCTCCTCTACCAACACAAGCAATCAGCTGCTAATCTGGCAAAGGTAAGGTGTAATAAAATAACAACTTGCCCTCTTGCTTTATATAAGACTGAGAAATTTAAACAGTAACATATACAATTGCTGAAAAGAAGATGAAATCAAACTTATAAATGCTATTTTATGATTAGGAATAAAACAATTTTTTAAAAGGTGTAGCTGAATCTTGTTTAAAATCTGGATGGTCTCTAGTATCTCCAGCTAATGGGTATTTGAGGAGAAACATTTCTTTTTGAGAAGCAAAAGGAACAGTCTTGGTTCCTTTAGTGGAACAGTGTTTCCCATCTCACGGCCAATTTTCAATTTTCTCTTCAGTGAGTAAATTCTTATGATGATCGACAATCATCAGTTTCTGTGCAGCCACAAAATTATTCCCATCAATGTACAACCTTGCCCTTTTCCTCTATTTGATCCTCATCAGTCCCTCCATTCCATTTCTGTATTCTCCTTTATAAGCACATTTTATAAACAAGGATCTATTTGTACTACTGTCATTTCCTCATCTTCTATGTTCTCTTCAACTCATTTTAATCGTATTACGACCCTGTGTCAGTCCCCAACCCATGCACGTCCCAGCGTGCTTGGCTTATTCAATCTCTAGCAACATTTTACATAGGTGACCATTCTAGTCTTTGTGAAACACTCCCTATACTTTTTTGAGCATGAAATACTACTTCCAAAGGACATATAATCACATCATGTAAGGAAGTAGTGTTCTGTAGGAAACAATGACTCTAGAAAAAAACAAAAAGGTTATGGCTGTGCATAATGAGTGAACTGGGACAAATAACCTATTATCAGGTGACCAGGGCTACCAAGGAAAGAAAAGGACTAAGGCCCTGCCACACTGGAAACATGGCTGTCTGTGTAAGTAAACTGGAAGAGATTTAGGAATGCCAATAAATAGAACAAAGCTGTCACAGTTCGTGCGTGCAAATGCACACTGCAATATCTATCTGGATGATGGCATTATCTCAACAGCCTCAAAGGTGATGTACACCTAACCTGTGATAGCTGCATATTAGTTATTTTGGGAAAAACAGCTTTTAAAGTACTGAATTTTAACTGTGAAAATATAAACTGCACTGTATTATAAACTACCTTTTTAGGTAAAGTACTTTCCAAGAATTAGTAAAATATTAAATTCTAAAAAAGTACAAGGTCTCAGGTCTTAAACAATCCTGTACTACAAGAAAAACCAAACCTGTTGCCATCGAGTAAATACCAAGTAATAGTGATCCTAAAGGACAGAGTAGAACTGCCCCATATGGTTTCCAAGGCTGTAAATCTTTATGGAAACAGACAGCCACATTTTTCTCATCTGCAGCAGCTGGGGCTTCAAACAGCTACCTTTTTGGTTACCAGCCTAATGTTTAACCACTGCACTACCAGGGTTCCTGGTATGGTATTTATCCACTGTATTTCTGTTCCTTATCCTCCTTGGTCCTTCCTCAGATAAAAGGGTTGGTACAGATGGTATATTAGGTTAAGGTATCAAAAGTGTCACATTTAATTATTACAGTTAACAATGAAATAAATTAATGTGATCCAGGTGATGAAAAAGTATAGCAGTTTTATCATTAATTTGATCACACTAGAAACTTAAGATATATCAAAACAGAAAACACATTACACTGAATTATAGTAACTTTAAAATAATCACATTGTTGTGTTGTTGTTATGTGCTGTCGAGTCGGATCCGACTCACAGCAACCCCTCCTTGGGTTTCCAAGGCAGTATCACTACGGAAGTAGATTGCCCCATCTTCCTTCTGAGGAATGGCTGGTGGGTTTAAACCGCCAGCCTTCAGGTTAGCAGTCAAATGCCTTACATACTACGCTACCAGAGCTCCGTAAAATAATTGTAACTTATTAATAAAATCCTCACTAAAAGAAATGCTGATCTCTAAAGTATACATTATTAAATACAAAGCTCCTGTTATATTCTTTTCTTCACATTTCACCATAAAGTGATGGAACACACCTGATTTCTTCCTCTGCGTTTTCCATAATTCCTTCTTACTAGAGCTTTATAATTTTCATTTTTCTTGGTCAAGTAGTAATATAAAACACAATCAGAAACACTCTGAAAGGAAAAAAAAATTTTTTTGAGGATCCAGTGACATAAAATTTGTAAAATATGAAATAAAGCTTTCAAGGAAAATTTCTAGATATTGCTAAGCATAGAAGAGAAACAAATACAGCAACATTTTAAGGCATATCCAGGCTGAAAAAATTACATAGATTATATTTGCTCTTTAAAGATTAGTTACTGTTATCAATCCTAATTAAGTAAAAGATATTAGAAACTATCAAAAACACTTTTCTTATTAACTTGTAACTAAATTCCCTTTCCTACTACATACAAATGTAAACATTCAACATGTTTCTTTAAGTATTTTGTTCCAAAACATTGAAATTAATCCTTTGTTTAAAAAAATTCAGGGGAAATCAGGACTGACATTTTAATTAGAAATTTAATGAGGTTCAAAAAGCATTGTAAGGTAATCTTTGTGTTTTTAGGGAAATATAAAATCAAGTCATTTTTCATTAAACATGAAAATTAGTTCTGTTTTCTATGCTTAGGATTTCTGCTATAATTCATTTCAATATCATTATCTCCATCAGATGAGAATCTTTTCTGTACCTAATCCTTTGCAAATCTGTCCTATTTAACAACTTCTGTATGTAGGCTAAAGAACAAAAATCTCAAAGTAGCAACCACCAAAAACCTATAAACATTTTCAAAGTAAATCAATTCTTACCTTCCTCTCCAAGTAGGATGCAATTAGTCCAAAGTTCTTTGGATGCTGGATAAACCTGAGTTTAAAAATATATACAGATATATATAATTGAATAATATAAAAAGAAAATTCAAAGAATAAAAACCTTGGGAATAAAAATATGAACAGTTTATCCCAGTGATTCCTGTCAATCTGAGAAACAACTGCAGAATCAGGAGACATTTTTAAAGGGCACATATGCCTAAGTACCACTCACCAAGAACTGACTTGGTCATTCTATGATAGAAAACAGAAATCTGTGCTTTTAAAAAGACCCCTAATTACCAGAGGTGGCAAGGGGAGAGGGGTGGAATTATTGCTTATAGAGTACTGAATTTCAATTTACAGTATTACAGTGACTGAAAAATAGCAATGATTAAGGATAGGGACACACAGCAATTACTGTAACTGCTGTCAAAAAGTTGTACACTTGTAAAACGTTAAACTGCCAAAGGTTGTGTAATAGATATATTTACAAGAAGAAACAGTAGCTGTTGAGGCTGCTTATGAACCACCAAACACCTCATGGAATTTGGTTTCTTAGTTTGGAGGTGTTGGGTCATGGTTTCATGGGACATTCCAGTTAACTAGCCTAATAAATGCTTCTATTCTACCTCCTAGTTCACTGTGTAGTGCCTGGGGTTTGAAAAGCTTACAAACACCCCCATTCAAGGTGATCTCTATCCACCTGGAATAACAGAGGATTAAGGAACAGGAGTAGGAAATGGATGTGTAGCCATTTGCCTCCACAGATAACTGCCACCTCTGCCCTGAGACCAGAAGAACAGAATAGTGCCTGGCTACCACTACTAAACATTTCAATCAAAGATGCTATGGAAGAATCCTGATCAAAGGGGGAAAATACAGAACAGAATTTCAAATTCTCAAAGACTCTAGACTTTTTGGAGCCCCTGAGGCTAGATGAACCCATGAAACTACCATCCTGAGATCATCTTTAAATTTCAAAATATCCCCTGAAGTCTAACAAAACCAAACAATAGTTTAACTAGTAAAGAATGTCTGCTTTGACATTGTTCCACCTCCTACTTTAGCAAGTAGCAAATGAGATCTTAAAAGCTAGCAAGCTGCCATCTAGATGCAACGATGGGTCTCTCCTCATCCAGAGCAAAGAAGAATGAAGAAAACCAAAATTCATGGAAACAATTATTCCTAGCAACTGGTACACCATCCGATCTGCAGCCTATTCAACTATGAGACCAGAAGAACTAAATGGTGCCCAGCTACCACTGTCATCCACTTGGAAGGGGATCTATATAGAAGACCCTTGATAGAGAGGGAGAACAATGTGGAACAAAACTCAAAAACATCTGGAGGGAAAAAAAAAAAAAGCTGGGGACCAGGCTTGCTGGTTTGATAGAGCCTGATGGAACCACTGAGACTATGGCCCCTAGCTGCCTTTCAGGTCTGGAATTGAACCCATACCTGTGGCTTCCAGCCAAACAAAAGACAGGCATATGAGTTGAACATTTACCTCAAGTAGATACACGCCTTGGAGAGAACAATCATGGGAGAAAGAAGGGCTGCTTATGCACAGGGAGACAGCTCAGGGGGCAGGAGTGTATGGAGGGATGGACACTGGGAAGAGGTAACTATGGGGAGGAAGTGGGAGGGGAGCTGTTGCATTGTGGTAAACTGTGGTCAATGACATGAGACAAAGTATATGTGAACTGCTGTATGGAAAGTGAATTTGCTCTGTAAATCTTCACCCAAATCACGATAAAAAAAAATAAAAAAAAAAAGAAGAAGAATGTCAGCTTTGAGCATTGGCCACTTTTAAAATCTATCTGTATGACATCATATTAAAAACAGCAACTCAAAAGATTAGAGAGGGACCATATGGGAGAGTAAGTTTAATAGGAGAGAAAGGAAGGTGAAAATGGTTGCACAACTAGAAGAATGTAATCACAGTCATGGAAATGTACATGAAGAAACCGTTGAACTAGTTTATGTTTTGCTATGTATATTCTTAACATAACAAAAATAAAATAATAAAAAGGGAAAAACTCCCCCAGGTGATGTGAGCACCACCCAAATTTGAGAATCTCTCTGAATCTAACTCTATAATCTCAGATCCTGTTACCTGGATTCTCTCTTACAAATTTATGAGATCACATTAAATCTATATTCTCTATTTTCTACAATATCCATTCAAATGCCAAAATGAGGCCAAGTTTTTGTGGAAACAGTTTAAACTCTAAGTAAATGTCAATATGTTTTGGCTAATTTATGTAAATTATAAGACAAAAATTTAAAATTTAAATTACTTGTCTTTAAAGATCTCCTTCTCATGGTCAGTCCAAACATTCATAAACTGCCTATCTTTATAGACCTTCATTGGGTCCTCCATAAGTCCATTCATGTTAATGAACTTGACCCGCCTTTGTTCTGCATCAAACATCATAGGTGGGATTACAGAGAGCTGCCGCATTTGTTTCTCATTATTCTGCAAAAAAAGAAATGCAATTTACTTAGAATAAAATTTAAATCAGGAGTATAAATAGGGCCATAAACCAAATGTCTTAATATACACGAAAAAAATCCCACACATGTTGTTTCTTCATAACAGCAGTAAACATCACAGTGCCTAACATACAGTAATCATTTATATATCTAATAAATATCACTGAATGAATTATAGAAGCAAAGTATGCATCATTTTTTTCAATGCACTCCAATTCTAGAATTTTTAATTTCCTGATTTAAATGAAGCTGGTACTTAAGATAATGGAATTTTAGACTTAGAAGACAGTCATCAAGCTCACTGAGGTAGTGATCTTATGAAGCATGTAATTATCACACAGTCTTATTTAAAATCACTTTAAAGAATAACAAATCTTAGTATCATTTTAGAGAACATTAAATAGAAAGATAAGCAAACAAGCACCACAATCTTAAAATAAGTGTAAATTGATTAAACTAAACTCCCTCATTAAGTATTTCTTGCAATTTTATAGTTTTTTCCATTCGTAATTTAAGATTGTTCTCCTTAGCACTGGTTTCAACTTTGTTACATCTACACATTTCATTTTTTCCAACTGTTTAATTTAGAAAGTTTACAAGCATAAACTTCCACGAAAAAAAACTTTTACCAAAATTACAAGTCTCTACCAAATACAAGGGGAGCTCTGGTAGCATAGTGGCTAAGACACTTGCCTGCTAACCAGACGGCTGGCGGTTCAAACCCACCAGCCACTCCTCGGAAGGAAGGTTGGGCA